CTGCTAAGAAAAAAAAAATTCAGAAAGCCAGCATAAAAAAAAGGGAAAGGGAACCACTGCTGATGCAGAAGGAGGACACCTGTGATGCAGAAGGAGGAACAGCAATTATGCCCAAAATATTTTTACTGCTGCTAACGCAGAAGGAGGAACTCCTGCAGCACAGAAGAGGGAACACTAATGATGCAGCAACAGAACCTGATGCTACAAAAAAAAAAAAATTAACAGAAGAAAAAAGAAAGTAGGAACAGAGGTGATACAGAAGTGCTGTAAAACACACTGACACTTCACTGACACCACTACACTGCTATTCAACACTACACTACACTACACTCCTAACACATCACTAACTCCACTAAACTCCAGCAGCACACTATACAAGCAGGCTGCGTGGACTGCGTGGAAGTCACTGTGACTTTGGAAATCATGGCTCTCACAGTGCATTGTGCTGTGATTGTGATTGGCCAAAGCATTGCACCTGACCTGTGCTCAGGTGCATTGCTTTTGGCCAATCATGGCTCTCACAATGCACTGTGAGAGCGCAGTTCATTGTGGGGCGAACACATGAAAGACTGATGTTCGAGATGAGCCCAACACTAATCCTGTTTTAGGCTAGGTTCACACTTGCTTGCAGTCTATAGGCTGGTTGTGGGTGCAGGAATTGCACCTGTTCCCATAACCGCCTGCAGCCAAATTGCGCTGCTCTTACAAGACACACGGGCTGCCATTCATTATGAATGGCACCCCCCTCCACGCATCTCAGCTCGCAGTCTTTTTGCAGGTGCAGGAACTGCACGGAAACTGCTTGGTCAAAAAGACCTGCTGCATTTTTTTAAAATTTGCAAGTACCTTTTCTCTGCGGGATACATGGGCACAGCAGCCCATTCAAATGAATGGGCTGCCATTCCCAAGCAAATGCGGGTTGCACAGCCCACAGTAATGTGAACCTAGGATAATACGTATGTAGCGCTACCTCCACAGAGGCCGCTTGATAATGCTCAATGGTTGCCCTGAACTTAAGCCTCCTGACACCTCTGATACTCTGGGTTCAGACATATTTCAACAGTATGAAATAATATTGCAAGAGACACGATACTTTAGTAACACCTCTATATTAGGCTTGTTCAAAAGAGTAGACCACAGAATGAAGGTTTAGGAGGTACATCCCCAGTTAACACATAAAAGCAAAACACTGATAAAATGGAAGTAACCAAATAGCAATGGCTAACAGATTATATGGCCACAAATGGTACATTGTAACTTTGTAACTGCAACACCAGCAGCAGGAGGGGGAAGAAAAGGTTTGTTGACTTATCAGCTCCCTCTGGGCCTCCAGCATCACAATAGGGAATGCAGGGTACTATGGAAATATATATATATATATATACACTCTGGCATAAATGGGTTTAGCCATTCTAATTTGAATAACAATGGGTTAGATGGGAAGAGGTTCCTTTAACTAGAAATAGCAACTTGAGTCCTGAGATGTTTAATGTTCCTGATGTGATAGTAGCTATTGTCTTCTTCTAGCAATAGTGGTACCCATATACAGAAGTGAACAATGGTAATTCAATGAAGATAACAGATAGGCTGTGGTAAATGCTCAAAGCAAAGATCTCTTGGTGCTGAGTTGTAAAGGTGTTTGCATGCAGGGTCTCTAGAGTGATGATAGAAAGAGGCTGGACATCTGCCCACTCAATTCCATGGATAGCATGGCCATTGAATAGAGACATAAATTATATTTCGGTTTTGGACGGTTAGTCTTTTAGAGAGTATCCCAAATAAAAAAGGTGTAAGGCGTTTGATTGAGCTTTCTCCACAACCTTTTTCAACCCAGCATTACATGATCGGGGAATTAGTTTGGGGAATTTCAGGGATTCTATACCTGTAAGAAATACAGAGTATATAAAGTAACAAATAACTGCCAAAAGATTTGGAAATATACATCTGAAGTAACAAATACATCATAAAATATTACGCACTTTATTACTTGCTCTATTATATATGTTGTTTATGTGTTAAGTTGTCTGGACAAGAGACAATATGTAGGGAGAACCACACGTAGGTTAAAGAACAGGATTGGTGAGCATATAGTTAATATCAAAACAGTTTATTGTCATAATAAGGACCCCTCAAGTTTAAAGGTGATGGGCATAGATAAATATGAATCACACAGGAGAGGGAGCAATAAAGTGAGGGGAATCTCCAGATTAGAAACTAAATGGATATGTGACATAAAATCATATACTCCTTATGGTCATAACATAGAACGGGACCTAAAAAGCTTAATCAGTAATAGTTAGAAGCCATTACCCATAGTTGGGAAGATACTGGAGAGTGTATTATAAGACCACATAGATGAGTTCTTGCTTGAAAAAAATATTTTAAGCAACAGACACCATAGATTCATGAAAGATAGAAGTTGTCAAACAAATCTGATTTCCTTTTATGAGGAGGTGAGCAAAACCTTGGACGAAGGAGTGGCTGTGGACGTTGTATACTTGAATTCTTCAAAAGTGTTTGACACAGTTCCCCGCACATGGTTAATTTGTAGGGTAAAGTCTACAGGCTTGAAAAAATTAGTAGAAAGAGAAACACACAGGGGGCGCAAAAACCTAGCGCATTATCCAAGATTTATTAGAAAATTAAAAATGAAAAACATACACAAAATGAGATGCGTATAAAAGTCTGTAAAACCACTGAGATCGCCCAACGTGATGGCAGAGTACCCCGACTGGTGGTGAAGACGGCCTGCTGATGTGTTCCAGGGACGTGACCCTTCCTCGGAGCTCAGGACTCTGAGGAAGTCCCCTTCCTCAGAGTCCTGAGCTCTGAGGAAGGGTCACGTCCCTGAAATGCATCACCAGGCTGACTTCATCACCAGTTTTTGGTTGATTCCCCAGTCAGAGGAGGGCTGCACCACCAAGACCTGATTCCGAGGCCAATAGCATGTTTGATTCCCTGGTCTGTTTCCTGGCATTCACCCCTTTGAAGTGCTGGAGAAATTGTTCTTTCAGTCCAGTTTGGAAAAATTAGTATGTAAATGGATAGAAAAATGCTTTAATGATTGTATTCAGAGAGCAGTGGTTTATGATTCATACTCTGAATGGTTTAGGTTTGTTAGTGGTGTACCTCATGGCTCAGTGTTGGGAACCTTACTTTCAAATATATTTATAAACAATATAGGGTCTGGGTTTAAAAATACTGTTTCAGTCTTTGCAGATGACACCAAGATTTGCAGTGGAATAACGTCTTTACAGGATATTTAAAGTTTTATGTAGATAGGAGTGTCCCCATTCTTACCTGGTTTATTAGTTATTTGGTGAGTTATTGGCCTTTGGGGGAGTTAATAAACTCTGACTGATACGAGGAGAAAGTTTGAAAGTAATAAATGTGTATTTTTATTTTATTCTACTTTTGAGTCATAAAGATTCATATTTGAATAATTGATTAATTATTAATAGGATACTGTATACATATATATATATATATATATATATATATACAGTATATATGAACATACAATGTCTATTTATACTGTTAACTTGGATAAGAAGGGGGCTGTTACATTTATCATGGGCTATCCATACCACTCTTCCATGTCAGCACATCAAGCTGATCCCCTTGACAACATCTGTGTGGGCGAAATGTACGTCGGAGCGAGGCGGAGCCGACACAAGTCACCCATGCTAGGGTGGATCAAACACCAGCAGTGTTTGTAATGTGTTATGCTATTATCTGCAGATGTTTGTAAGTAGTTTTCTGACCAATATTTAATAAAACATATTAAGGGTACTATACTGTTAGAGGTTTATCTGTTTCTTGCCAATCTTAATAGCAAAGCAGGAGAGGCAGCGAAGTTTCATCGTTTCAGAGGTGTTGTTTGTATTCCTGTGCTGGATGTGCCATGGTGTAAGACCCATGCAGAGTCACGCTATGTTAGACCTCCTATAATTTGGTTCTGATGATTTGGTAAGAGGCTTTGTGTGTTTGAGGTGGTGGGTTCACTGGTACACATCATTGGATCTAACAAAAGATCTGAGAGACACTATAGCGTTTATACTCACTCACTTTGACACTTGATGTTGACTTTGTTTTAATTATTAGGATTTACACAACACTTGTGTGGGATTTTATTATTATACTGTATTTTTTGCTCCATAAGACGCACCTAGGTTTTAGAGGTGAAAAACAAGAATGACAAAATCATGTAGACTTCACCTCCGCAACATCTCCAAAACACGACCGTTCCTAACCCCAGAAACCACTAAGCAACTTATTCACTCCCTTGTCATATCATGCCTCAACTACTGTAACTCCCTCCTCATTGGCCTACCTAATTGTAGGCTATCCCCCCTCCAGTCTATCATGAACGCTGCTGCCAGACCCATCCACCTCACTAACCTTTCTGTATCCGCCACCCCTCTCTGCGAATCCCTCCACTGGCTCCCAGTTGCCCAACGGATAAAATTCAAAACTCTAACAATGACATATAAAGCCATCCACAACACTGCCCCGATTTACATAACCGATAAATATCACCCAAACCGCACACTCCGCTCCTCGCAAGACCTCTTACTCTCTAGCTCCCTTATCTCCTCCTCCCATGCTTGTCTCCAAGACTTCTCCAGGGTGTCACCCATCCTCTGGAACTCCCTACCCCAATCTATCAGACTATCACCTACTCTACTTGCCTTTCGGCGATCACTGAAAACCTTTCTCTTCAGGGAAGCCTATCCCGCCCTCTGCTAATTCTGGAATCCTTTACTCTTCCAACCACTCCATCCCCCACAGTTACTACCTACTGTACCATTCACCCTGCCCTCCTAGATTGTAAGCTCCAAGGAGCAGGGCCCTCAAATCCCTCTTGTATTGAACTGTATTGTTACTGTATTGTCTCCCACTATAATGTAAAGCGCTGAGCAAACCGTTAACGCTATATAAATCCTGTATAATAATAATAATAATAATAAAAAAAAATTCTGAACCAATGGACTGCATAGTACAGGAGATGACCAGAGACCGCAGACACAGTACAGGAGATGACCAGAGACTGCGGACACAGTACAGGAGATGACCAGAGACTGCGGACATAGTACAGGGGATAACCAGAGACTGTGAACATAGTACAGGAGATGACCAGAGACTGCAGACAGTACAGGAGATGACCAGAGACTGTGGACATAGTACAGGAGATGACCAGAGACTGTGGACATAGTACAGGGGATGACCAGGGGATGAGATTGCACACAGTACAGGGGATGACCAGAGACTGCAGACACAGTACAGGGGATGACCAGAGACTAAAGACAGTACAGGGGATGACCAGAGACTGCAGACCATATAGGGGATGACCAAGAGACTGCAGACCTTTGGGGAGGGAGGGGGAGCGGGTACCTGAATTTGACAGGTTCCCGCTCGCACTTCCGCAGAGATGTCCTACCTTTAGTGTGGGCACCCGGTGTCTTCTGGAACCTGTCATGTGTCTCAGAAGACGCCGGGCCATTCAGAAAGCGCAGTGCTTCTCGTGCATGTACAGTGGACATCCGGCTGTCACAGCCGGGAGCCCACAATAAAGATGCCCACGCAGGAAGACTGTACAGCGCTGGACCAAGGAACAGGTAAGGTCCTGCTGCAGAGAAGAGCCGAGCGGCCGGCCGGTCTTATGAAATACCGGACATTTCCCCCCCTCTTTGGAGGGAAAGAAGTGCGTCTTATCACACACAAATCACTTTATTGATTTAGTTATTTATTTTTACCAGAGCAACTGTATTGGGACTTATATACTGTGCATTTGTATTTTATGCTTTTGTCACAATCAGAGGATAAGACCACCTGAGATTGTAAACTCAAAACCTAGCGGGCCAGTGGAAACAACTAAACAGGTGTACCAGGCTCAGAGTCGCAGAACCTAAGGAGCCATCCGGTCTTCACCAGAGCCACTGAAGGTGTAGATGTTGCACTGTGAGGCAGATACCAGGTTGCGGCTCTCTAACACACCAATGCGGGCACAGTGCAACCAAATAGCATGCTGGAAGGACATGGGGCATGCATAGGATGCTAGGAACCAAGGTAACCTACTACAGCAAGCTAGGAAGGGACACCAGAGGAGAGGATGCAGGGAACAAGCATAAAGTGCAGGAGAGTGGAAGATGCTGAGCAATGGTGCAGAAAGAGAGGGAAACTCAGCACATGGAAAGGACTGCAGGGCAAACAACAACAAGAAACAGTTCTGAGGACACAAACAGCAAAAGGAAATGAAGGTATCCCTGAACAGAAACCAAAGGGACTATAACTGAACAGCCAGAGGGAACACACTGAGAACAAAGACAGGATCAACCAACACATGTAATACTCAAGTGGCAGCGAACATCACAGGAACCAGAGGGGTCCAGCTTACACATGAAGACACGTTGCTGCTCCAACACTAACACACAGGTGCAAAGGCCTAATAGTACCTAGGTTCAAGGTGGATAGGCAGGAACCCAAGCAACTTGGTGCCAGATCGATGTGCATGGAAGCATGACATATTTAGAGTACAGCTGTGAGATTTGATATTTTTGTTCAGCACCAAGTGCAGTTTTCTTTTTGTAGCACAGTCATTAACTCTGCACATAGTACATTCCTGAACCCTTCACTCTGTAAGTAGCACACTCTTAAACCCTGCAGAACACAAGGTTCAAGAGTGTGCTACTTACAGAGTGAAGGGTTCATACAGAACATACAGTATGTAGCACACTCCTGGTATTTAATGCCCCTTTAAGGGTGACAATTGCTCTTTGTATTAGCAACCACAAACAAGCTGTTTATTGATGAGGTGCTCAATGCAATCCTACCATGTAGCTTGCATTTACTGGAGTGGGGATTTGAACTCATGACTTAACACTTGCAAGTGCAGTGCTTTATCACCTGAGCCACCATCAGCAGCTCTGACAAAAAAAAAAAAAGACTGAAGATTTTGAAAAAAAACCCACGTTTTTCTTTGTTTCTGTTATAAAAGTTTGTAAATAAATAATTGTTCTTCATAAATTCAGGCCAAGATGTATTCTGCTTCATGTCTTTGGTGAAAATAACCTAAATCAGTATTTATTATTTAGTCTGTAGGAAATTTATAGAGTTCACAAACTATGGGATATATCTGAAAATTGATCGATCCTGAAGTACTGACAGCCAATCTAATTTCTTGAGGCCCAAAAATGTCAGAACAGTACAGATATCCCCCAAATGACCACTTTTTGCAAAGTAGACAGCCTGACGTATTTCATAAGAGGCATGGCGAGTTTTTTGAAGTTGTAATTTTTTTTGTCATAATTTTTCAGAAAATGAAGAAAAAAAAAAAAAAAAATTGCTATTTTTTGTTTACATACTGTCACCAGTGCAGTACAGTGTCAGCATATAACTGGTGTGGCTATGATCAGGACACCGACTGGTGACAGTACGAAAAAAAAAAATTATATATTTTTTTATTATTTTAATTTTTTATTACTTTTTTTTCTTTTTTTGAGATTTTTTTTTCATATTACACTATGACCAAAGTAGTATAATGTTACCATAGTAACATTGTACTACTTTGGGGAAGTGATCAATATTTTATTTTTTTTACACAATTTGATTGCTTATAGCAAATCATTTATTGGCTATAAGCAAGCAGTTAACTGAATGAAATCGATTCATTCAGGTTTTTTTTTTTCCTTGTGATTAGCTGTGATTGGTCACGGCTAATCACATGACACAGATGGGCTGTGATTGGCCCAGTCTGTGCATGTGATCACTGTGACCATTCACAGCTAGACACACTTGTATATAATGGATGGCATGAAAGGAAGCCATCCATTGTATACAAATGTCATATGACCTGCTGTGATTGGCTTCAGCAGGTCACATGGTACTGGCAACGGTGCCAGTACACAGGTCTCCAAGGTACATGGCTGGTGACAGATCTCGCCATAGCGTGGCCCTGCGGGCACGCGCAAAGCTCAATACAAAAAGGACATCATATGACGCCCTCCCAGAGGGACGAGGTGTTCGCCCATTTGCCGGCCATCATTTGACTATAGGCCAGGTTGCAAGTGGTTAATTGTATGTGCAGATACTTGCAATTATTACAGTATTGCTGTACTGTCCATTATTCATGATTTAAAATAAAAAAAAATTGCTAGAAGATATTGTTTTGCCTGGTCCCTTTAAATTACTGCCACCCAGTTAGCTTTCTCCACACCCTAAGCCTAAAATCTGTTAGAAGCTATTTAAAGAAGTTTTTTTAAAAAAGAAAATAGATTTGTAATAGACCCTAGCAGCCATCGAAATTCCAGTACAAGATGGATTCTGTTGCTATGGGTACTACATTTTGTTCACAGTCTTTGTTTCTCTTTCCATTCTGCACTACCAGACTGACAGCTGATCGATTGCTATGGACAATAAGAAATGTTCTTGTTAGCACAAGTTCGATATGTAAGTACACACAGTACATGCATCTGTACGATCATAAGACTCTGCGTGTGGCTGTTCCAAAGCATGTAGGAAGCACAGGCTCTAGGTTAACCCACGCAACTTTTCTTCATTTCCGTTTTCACAACCTGCTGCTTGTCCTTAAATTCCTTAGCTACCGTCTAAAATAGTTTTTCTCAGAACCTTATGTAATGCTTCGCCCTTTTTATCCATGAACATCGAAGTCACACAACAATCTGTTCATCACCAATATTGAGCCGTCTGATGGAGGCATTTTACTTAACAGGGAAAGTTGCAAAATGCCATGAAAAGGAGAGGTTCATGCTCTGCTGAATAACACTGTAAATGTATTGTGCTGATCTGCTTGACGTTTGTGGATATAAAACTGCAGGAGCTATTGGCTATCTACTTTACTGACTCCCCACCATCATAATTACTGCGAGCCGCCTTAGTACTGCCTGCCAGTACATCAGAAAGCTGTCACTGTCACCCTGTGAGGGTTCAACAAGCTCAGGGAGGGGGTTCCTTGCAGCTGCAGCCACTCCTAGCCAGTAATTACTGTCACAGTTGTAATCAAAGATACGGTGCACATCCGCCCCACATTTAAAATAGATGAGTATAGCTGGGGGTGGGAGGATATGGAGTTTATGTATAGGATTATGAGTATGTCAGCCCCTTTCCAATTATTTAACCACAACTACAGATCTCTGAGTCACTATAGACATTTCAACAATTATATTAATGCTACATGTAAAAAGTAAACAAGATGTTGAATATTTGCTATGAAACTTTTTTCTTGTACATAGTGCAATTAATATGTTTTATCTGAAATTAAATAGTAGCTAGTGTGTTAGGCTGTTGTACATGTGCACCTTAACCACTTCAAGTCCGAACACTTTTATCCCCTTCCTGCACAGGCTAATTTTCAGCTTTCAGCGCTGTCACACTTTGAATGACAATTGCGTTGTCATTCAACACTGTAACCATTTGAAATTTTAAGCACTTTTTTGAGACAGATAAATCTTTATTTTGGTGGTATTTATTCACCACTGGGATTTTTTTTTTTTTCTTTTTGCTATATAAATGAAAAAGTCCAAAAATGTAGAAAAAAAAAGTGTTTTTCTTATAACATTTTGCAAATAAATAGTCTTTCTTCATAAATCTTGGCAACAATTTATTCAGTTATCTTTTTAGTAAAAAAAAATAACCCAAATTAGTTTATAACCAAAAATTATAATTTTTGAAAACTTTTTTTTACATTTTTTATTTTACTTTTTATATATTTTTTTAATGTTTATTTTTATTTTTTACACTGATTGCTTTTACACCCATAAAGGCTGTAAATGCAATCACTTCTCTTTCTCTCTGGCTGCATTCTTGCAGCCATTGAGAAATACTGTGAGAGCTGTGATTGGTCACAGCTTGTCACATGGTATGAGGCTGTTGTGAATAGCCTTGTACCATGTGTCTCTGTGATAATTCACAGATTTCACATGCAGTAAGCAATGATGTCAGGAAGTGACATCTTGCTTACTACTATTTATGTGATCACTGATTGGCCAATACTGAAATTCTACAGTATCATCAAATGGCGTTAACAGTCTAGAATGACTATATTTCAGGTACAGTGGTCATTTCAGCTTTATAAAAGGGGTAAATGATGGCCAATTAGGTCTAAAGTTATTGACTTTGCTTGTTAATTTTTCCCTGAGTGGGGATCATACATTTCAGATCACAACTCTGCAGTGCTGCATGTTAGGAGGTCACCCCCCTAGAGGCACTTTTTTGAGTACTTTAAATCATATCAACCCCCCAGCCCGTGCCCCCCCCCCCCCCATCCTCTCCATCATGACCAACAACTCCACCATCAGTCCCACCCCACAAGCCAAAG